TATATATATATATATATATATATAACACAACCAAAAAATTATGCATTATAAGATGAATATCTTATAGAAAATATTATTAATGACATAAAATATGTTTTTTTATTCATAGATGAGAGAGGTAGTGATTACTTAAAGAACTGAACACAAAATAAAGATGGAAATAATGAAACGCTGGCATGTGTACATAGATATGGTATTGAACACTATATACACTTGAGTCTAAGTAACATTAATTAATCACAGAAAAAGGAGAAGGCCAGTGGGAGCAGAATCCTGATGGTCATGGATGATGTTCCTTGTAGTTGTAGGTTTAGATTTGTGTTGAAGAAGAGCATGTGCAGGTGATGAAGGGAATGCAATGGTTAGGTCAAGGTTTAAGTGGGGTGTTGAAGAAAGCGTTGTTGCTGTTTCTTCTGCAAGACAACTGTGTGTGTCAGAAATTCTATCATTGTTGGCAGAAGATTGTGCGGTACTAGCAGGTCGTGAAATATGACAAGGTTTTGGAACTGGAAAGGTTTGGTGTAGCTTGTGGTTGTTGGGATCAATTCCCATCTTAATTAGCTTTCTGCGTATGTGAGAGTTCCAATAGTTTTTCACCTCGTTATCTGTGCGACCTGGCAACCTTCCAGCAATCAGTGACCACCTGACACCAGCAATGCAAAATCAAATTCTATTCTCAAACCCTAAACCACAAAAATAAATCATTCTAATTTTCCTATGCTGTTTGTTATTAAAACAAATTGACCATTTTTTTTATAATGTTTTTAAAGAATTAAATGTATTTATTTTTTATGTAAACCAAGAGAAGGATAAATAGACAGTTTTTTTTAGAACAATATAAGAGGCATTTGAAAACAAAGATAATACACTATTCCTGTACTATATATCATGAATTTAATTTACATGTATTATCAATATAAAAAAATTATAAAATGTAATGAACATAACTTCTAATTAGAACTTAAAAGTCACCAAATTTATCATACAATATTAATGTGAAGTTTACATTAAGAAAGTGAGTTTCCAACAATTATATTAAAAGTGAACACAATTCATTTGTACTTTAAGTAAAAATAAAAGTATTGAGTGGTTAATTTAACTAATTGAGGGAGAAAGGTACCGGTTGCCAAGGAGGGCATGGAGTTTGATGATGAGGTCTTCTTCATCCTGCGCAAAGTTCCCGCGTTTAATGTTCGGTCGCAAGTAGTTTATCCATCTCAACCTACAGCTTTTGCCACAACGATGTAGTCCTGCCAGTAAATAAATAAGCATGGATATTATATCCTTATAAGAGTTGGTTGATCCGGTAGGACGCAGATACATCTTACGAAACGAAAAACATTGTGTAAGGAATTGGAACATTGTGTGAGAGAATAAAGTACCTGCAGCCTTGGGAAGGGAACACCAACGTCCTGCCCCATGAGTTCTGATGTAATCAATGAGCTTTTGGTCCTCTTGCTTGGACCAAGCACCTTTGTTTGTGCCTTCTTTGTCACAACAAGGTTTTCTCATACTTTTCTTGTGTGGCGAAGGGCTCTGATAACCATGGTAGATATATAATCTATGCTTGTGATGTGATGGAGAAGAGATCATACGATTTGACTTGGACCGGTGGTTTTGGTAGGTGAATCAAGGATTCACTTTATATAATTATGCATTATACGGTCTTTGCTTGACAAATTGTTTACTGTTAAGTAAACGTCATTTTCAGCTATTGCTACCACTTCCCATAAAATTATATTTATTTGACCCGTTCATTTTTCTTTCTGTAAATTACATTCACACATCTAATAATAATCGATTTATATTCATACTCTTTACTTTTTTTTTAATGTTTATCGTTATTTTCTTTAAAAAAAATTACAGTATAAGGGTTTTTAATAGCCAAGTAAGTTAAAGTAATATCTAAACACCATTAGTTTAATGTTTTTTTTAACTATTGAAAGAGAATAAGAGGTATTTATATCGGTCATCGATACTTTGGAGTTGAAGTTGATTTTGGGTTATCTTTTTTCTCTTTAATATTAATGATGTTTTGTTATTCGGTTGTCTTGTTAAGTTGAAGGAGTTATATTTATAAAAGATATTTTGATATTTAAGTAAGTAGTTCACTCAAAATAATAAATGTGAATATATTGTGAACAATAATTTTATCTTAATATACAATGTTATTTATACTAATTGTGATGGGTCCAAAATATTAATTAGTCTCAACTTATGATTATCAATTAAGTCATACATTTGTAATTTGTTTTGTATTGTAATTAGTCTTTTATGACTTTGATTATCTTTAGATAAAATGGGGAGTCATTCAACTCATTCGTTGTTACAAGTAATAGGTACTTGAAAATGCTAAACAAATGCATCTAGGTCCTACGAGGGTGCCTCAACATTCGAGGGTGTCGAGGGAGGCATACTTGAACTCACGAGAGTGCCTCGGCATTTGAAGGTGCCAAGGGAGTTACACTTAGATTTACAAGAATGCCTCAACATCCAAGGATGTCGAGGGGGATGTTCTTTGGCTTGTGAGAGTGCCTCGACATTTGAGAGTGTCAAAGGGGATACACTTTGGTTCACGAGAGTGCCTTGGCATCTGAGGATGTCATGGGTGATACACTTGGATTCAGGGGGAGGATGGTGTTTCAATATTTGACGATGTCGAGCGCATTTGGATTCTTCAAGCGTGTATTAACATCCAAAGACGCCAAATGAGGACACCTGAATTCGCAAGGGTGCCTTGTTATCGGGTGGTTATATAATATACATGCCCCCCAAGCCTTGGAGGATTTCAAGAGAAAGACGAACAAGGTTTAGATGACTATATTCGAGGGTATATTTGGAATGATATCTTGCAACCCTTATGTTGCTTATACTTCCTGGAGGTAGTTACATTCATTGGAAAATGAAGAGTCGTGTCTAGTAAACTGTTAGATCATTTTTTTATCTAGCTAACAATTATAAAAGAATGTATCATTCCAATTATAAAAGAATGTATCATTCTGTCTTCTATTGTTAGGGTACTATAAATAGGAATTAGTAGTGGAGTCCACTCTACCATTGTGATTGCTTCTTCTAAGATTGAGTGAATTGCAATTTATGTGTTGATCTTTTGAGTCAAGCACATTATGGTTTTTGATTGGTGCGTGTGGTATGGTCGAATTGTCCAATCAATCTTCAATTGGAGACTCCTCGGTGGGATTGTCACTATTAGGGAGTATGTGTAGTGATTTGTCTACATCATCTTCTCGACCTAGCAAGTCCATTTTCAAAGGAAATCGTGAGGTCGAAAAGGAGTCAAAGGTGATTGTTGTTGAAGATAAGACAACAAATCATCCAGATGGTGGAAATTTCCACAAGACGAATTATCATCTAGTGGCTTAGCCAATCAACCAGTGCGTAAGCGAGCTTAAAGCTAGAGGAGGGATTATAGGCCTGCTACCATGCTTGGGTACAAATGGGTGCATGGAGAAGTAGCTTCCTACTACTCCTGATATAATGAAATGTTGTTCATTCTTAATTTGCTTTTGTATATCGAGTTTTTGAATTTTGACAAGAGGGAAAATCCATATCATATAGGCATCAAAGCTTGCTAAAACGATGAAGGGTATGACCTTGACTACGTTTAATTGGGTAAGACACTAGTCAAGATAGATTTTTTCTATGTGTATGACTGTTGATTTTGAGAATTGAAGGTAATTTGATCGTCGTTCGAGAACTTCACAATGGGTGTAACACCCTAGGTTTTTTTTTAATTATTAAAAAAGATATTTAATTAATTAAGTGGGTTTTAGGATATATTTTAGATCTTTTCAATACTTATGAGTGTTTTTAATTAATAAATAAAAGCTTGTGAAATTATTTTGGTATAGTAGGTATTTGGAGAAAATATACATTTTAATTAATTGTGTAATTAAATGCATTTTAAAAACATATTTTTTTATTATAATTGTTTTATATTTCTTATTGGGTTGAGAGGAATATGTTTATATTACATTATTTATTTATAAATTTTAATATTTTAATGGAAAGGAAGCGTAATCATAGTTTAATTGTGTTATTAGAGAGTTAAACATAAATTAGGAGTTTTATGAAAAGGTTACATCAATTTTATTTTCAAGCTACTCATTTTACTTTAGGTTTTTGTGCTCTAGAGAACTGTGAGAACTAGAAATCATGGAGATTTGTACCTTATTCATCAAGATAAGGGAGGAGTGAGTAATTTTACTCTACGCGTGAGATAACTATTAGGTAGTAAAATTAACCCTCAATCTCTTATCTGTTATTATATGTTGTGAGGGAGGAATTCCAATTCTGTCCTATAATTTATGAACTCGTGTTATGTACTTTTCTTATGTGTGATTTTCTACAACAAAAGTGAGTGTTTTAAGTGGCTAAACCCTACTGAACCACAATGTTTGACCTGTCACAACCAGGTCAAGTGTAAACAACATTAAGCCTCATTAGAGTGTCAGATATACAAATTAAATTGATTTCTCAAGTTCACCACTTAAACTAGGAAAATCTAGTACCACTATCAGGATAGACCAGCTCGGATATGAGCCTACCATGGTCTTAACATGCATAAATTAAGCTTTCTATGAGATTAACCCACTAACTATCCTCCAATTACTACGCATTCTTCCAATAATTGGTTAAAGATTTTAACTCTCGACTTCATACCTTACTTAATTGGTCACTTTATACACATATTACTTGACCTATCCTCCACACGGTCTTTTCTTGTTTCCCCTTGGGCTCTCCACACAAGATCACCTTTGTGAAATTCTCTTGGCTTCAATCTAGAACGACCGTTTAACTATTCTCTATTTGCAGGCTTCAACAACTATTCGTTCTTGTTCCTAATCCTCTTTGGCCATGTTGAGTTCTACTTGTTTTTCATCGACATTATGTTTTCTTTGGAAGTAAAATTGCTAAAAGGATGGCTCCCTAACTTATAGAGTGGCACACAAGTGATCGGTACGCAAAGATGTCAAACAAGTGCATCTTAGTCTTGTGAGGATGCCTTGGCATCCGAGGGTATCAAGGGGGGCGTACTTGAACTTGAGAGGGTTCCTTGACATCCAAGGATGTTGAGGGAGTTACACTTGGGTTTGCGAGTTTGGCTCATGAGAATGCCTCAACATCCAAGGGTGTCTAGGGAGATACACTTGGATTCGTCGAGTGCTTTAGTATTTGACGATATCGAACGCATTTGGATTATTTGAAGGTGTATCACATTTGAGGATGCCGAATGATATTGAATTTGTAAGGATGTCTTATCATTTGAGGTGTCAAAAAGGTATTGCTAATTCTTGGTAATCGAATAGGTATCTAGTATATGAGTATTTTCTAAAATTATTTACTAAAATGAAATTATTTTGAATTTCTTTTTCCAATTTATAGTAGTTAGGAGGGTGATTCTAGTCAACCTAATATTATAGGTGTGACATTTTTTTTATAATAATTTTCTTCCATTAAAAATTTCACGTAATGTCGAAGTGAGAAACGCTGCATCCTCTAGCACAAATTCTCACATATTTAACAAAAACAATAAATAAAAAAAAATTGTAATATGTGGCACTAGTGATGCTATTGTTGACTAGCGTCAAGCATGTTAACTTGTTTGAAGTGAAGAATTATTGCAAACCAGCTCCACTTCAATAAATAATTTTAGAAAGTGTTCCAAAATCATTAATGAGCCGTATTTATGGAATCATATACCTGAAAACAATCGTGGGTTTCAATTCATCCCTTCAAAACTTGAGTGGGATTTAGTGGGCTAACCTGAGTGTGTGGGTGGACTCGAAGTTCGCAAGCCCATTTCGGCTATCCTCCACCTTCTGATTTGGGCTACCTCCACATTTAGGCCTTTTATTTTTTAAATTACTTCCTTTTTGCGTTGATATGACACTTTGGAAATAGTTATGGAAGTGTGAGAAATTTTTAACACTTTCATAAATTTAATTTTGGAAGAACAAAAGAGAAAAAAAAAAGTGTTGAATTTTTTTTATTGGTCTCGGAGAGAAAGGTTGCATCGTTTTGAATATTCTTTGGCCATCATTTTTTTAAAGTCTGGATTCAACAGTCAAAATTTTCTAGCATGTCTAGCAGAGAAAGAAAGTGACACATTTTGAAATTTTATCACTTTCAGAATTTATTTTCCGAAAGTAATAAAAAAAAGCATGCTCTTGGAATTTAATTTATGAGAAAATGTAAAAATAATTTTCGAAATTGGATTTTCAAACATAACTTTGAAAAATAAATGGGTATTCTTAATCCATCCACCTGTATAAGGGTATTTTTAATATATAAAAAAATACCAAAAAAAAAAAAAAACAAAGTAGTGTAGTTAGTAAAAATGGGGTGCAGAGGGAAAAATGATCATCATTCTTTATTACCCAAGTAATGCAACGTCTATTTGTAATTTGGTCTTGTGAACATAGATGTAAAAGTATAATATTTTATTTTATGTGCCCATCTTTCAATATATCCCATTCATCATATGTTTTGAAATGGTTGTTCTGAAACATGTATAATGGGTGCAACATCTAACCGACAGGCACAAAAAGTAATTTTCAA